TATTAAATGTAAAAAAACTGTTTTATTCATTAACGTTTATTATTATTATTATAATATTAATATAGTAATTAATATAAAATAATTGTGAAACAACCTAAAATAAAAACCATGTAAAAAATATTTTTTATATACATACTACTGTGATCAAATTGAAAGGTGACTTTGTTTGTAAAATGAGAAACCTTTATTTATTCTTGAAAATCCATTTCGTCCCCTTCAAAATAATCCCCATCGGCTCCAATGCACTTATGCCAACGAAGTTTCCAGTCCTTGAAGCACTTCGCAAATTCTTCCTTCTTTATGGCCTTCAGCTCCTTCTGCGATTCGGTTTTTATCTTTTCAATCGAGTCAAAACGGTTTCCCCGAAGTGGCCTTTTGAGTTTGTTGAACAGCCAGAAGTCACACGGTGCTGGATCAGGTGAATACGGCGGTTGTGGAACGATCTTCGTTGAATTTTTGACGAAATGGTCTTGAATAATCAATGCAGTGTGTGATGGCGCATTATCGTGATGCAAATACCAAGAGTTGTCTCGCCACAAATCTGGTCTACTAACGCAGCTCGAAATAAATATTATTTCTTATTTTGTTCAGTAAAGACAGATCATCTTGTAGTGGTCCTTCCTTACATCCTCGCCCGATTCAGTCGACGATCCGCTATTCTAAATTTTTCTGAATATATGCTCGTCGTCGATTCTGTGAAAATGTCAGAATAAATAAAGACACAACAAATAAACATTTGACATTTGTCAAAAATTTAAAAACCTTGTGCTATCATTATTCTTTTTAGAAAGAATAGTTGTTAATAAGATCGTGACGTATATTTTTATCTTTCTTCTACTGTAACCATTCTGTAAATACATCTCATTCGGCCAATAACGTATCAACAGCACCGATGAAAAGAATAGCAACTTTTAGAAATTTAGAAACTCTGTATCTATTCAGGCGAATTAAGGCATGTGTCCATGATGCTAGTACTTGGTCCGGTAAAAGTGCCGAATAGGGGACCCAGCTCCTACGACCTT